TGGGGAGGGGGGGGGGGGGGGTTGGAAAGACGACTCCAGCTAAAAAGGCATATGATGATCCTGAAATCAGGCATCGTTTTGACATCCATGTTTGGGTGACAGTACCTCAAGAATACCGAATTAGGGATTTGTTGTTAGGTGTTCTTTCTTGTACTTCAAATGGCGTGAAAGAAGAGATTGATGATGATCAATTGATGGATATGATATACAAAAAGTTGAAGGGTCGGAGGTATCTTGCTGTAATGGATGATCTTTGGAGTAGTGACGTCTGGGATCTTATGACAAGAACTTTTCCAGACGATAATAATGGGAGTCGAATTATTTTGACTAGTAGGCTCAATGATGTGGCCATGCATGCTGACCCTGACAGCCCTCCTCATGAGATAAGCCTATTGAATGTAGATGAAAGTTGGAATTTACTTCATGACAAAGTGTTTGGAATAAAACAGGTTTGTCCTCCTGAATTAGAGGATATTGGGAAGCAAGTAGCACAAAAATGCCAAGGACTACCTTTAGCTCTTCTAGTGGTTGCAGGACATCTCTATAAAATTGCTAGAACACCAGAAAGTTGGGGAGATGTTGCCAAAAGTGTAAGTATAGTTGTTGCTGATGAACCAGATATATGTCTAGGTGTGCTTGCTATGAGTTGCAATTACTTACCTAATCATCTTAAATCATGTTTCCTTTACATAGGAGTCTTTCCAGAAGATAGTGAGGTTGAGGTTGAGAGAATGATAAACTTATGGGTTTCTGAGGGTTTTCTATTGGAAGAAAGGCACAAAAGCATAGAAGAAATGGGAAGAGAGTGTTTGGAGGATCTTCTTAGCAGGAATCTGTTAATGGTTAGAAAGAGGAGATGGAATAATGAGGTGAGAACATGTGGTGTCCATGATCTGATTCGCGACTTAATTTTAAGAGAAGCTGGGAAAGAGAAGTTCCTGCAGGTTACTAGAAATCATGAAGCCACTAATCCTTCTGCACAGAAGCTTCGTGTTCGTCGCTACAGTTTCCATTCAAGCATTTATCAGGCTGCCTGCTGGGAGTCATCATCCATTGATCTCACCCGAACTCTGCACTTTTTCCAACAACAACAACAACGACCCAGTATAATCCCATAAGTGGGGTCTGGAGAGGGTAATATGTACGCAGACCTTACCCCTACCCTATTCCGTCTTCGTCCTGCTCAACTTGTACCCACCTGCACTGAACTCTGCACTTTTTCCATGGATTAGAAACGCCTTCTAAACAAGTTCCTCATTTTGAGCGCTTCAAACTGCTAAGAGTGTTGGTAATCTTTGGCTTTATATTTCAAGATTTTCCACTTGAAGTAACAAAATTAGTACATCTCAGATACCTTGAATTCTACTGTAAAGATGATATTCACTGGTTAGTCTCAGAGCTTCATAATCTGCAGACCTTGATTTTTGGGCACCGAGGTTATAAATCTCCAACTATACCTGCGTCCATCTGGAAGATGAAACATTTAAGACATCTTCACGTGAATGGTTTCTTTTCCTTCCCCCAGAGTATAATAGACAGTTTTGGGTTCTTTTCTTTTCTCCAAAATAAGCTACAAAATCTGGAGGTACTTTCCTGTCTAGCTTTGTCCAGCTGTACTTCTGAATTGTTTTCTGCTATTCCGAATCTTAAGAGACTGACAGTTCATCATGAAGAAGAGTTGACAGAATTCGAGCGCGTGGAGATTTCCCAGCACCTAAGTAATTTTTCCCGTTTAAAAGAACTTGAAATATTGAAGTTCAGGGGCAACAGACAATACTTTCGCCGAATGCCGGGTAAGTACTCTTTGCCTACATCTCTAAACAGCTTGACTTTAACAGATACTTATTTACCGTGGGAAGACATAGCAAATATAGTAATGTTGCCAAACCTCGAAGTGCTTAAAATTAAATACCATGGATTTTATGGTGCTTTCTGGAGATTAAATGACAACGAGATTTTTAATCAGCTTAAATTACTCCTAATTAATGAGACATACCTGAAGCACTGGGATGCTGGAAGTGTTAACTTCCCAAAGCTGCAATGCCTAGTTCTGAAAAGATGCTTCGACCTTGAAGAAATCCCTAAAGATTTTGGGGAAATTTGTACCTTGGAGTCAATAGAATTGCATAAATGTAAAACTTCCGCTGCAGCATCCGCTAAAAATATTCAAGAAGAGCAAGAGAGCATGGGGAATGATTGTCTTAGTGTCCTCATTAATGATTGTAGGTAAGACTCACACTGTCTCAATTTAGTGTTTGCTAATCTGTTCAATGATCTCTCTTTATTTTATGTGCTCCATTTCTTCTTATACATTGCCTAATGATATAGTTTTACAAGTCAAGCAATGATAGTTGAAAAATCTACAGAACTTAATCAAAGAAGTCCACATCCCACTTAACATATGGTATTGTCCTTGCCTTGGACATCATTGATATGCTTCAAGAATCATGATAAATTCCTTCTCCTTGGTTTTGATTTTAAGTTCAAAAAAGTTGGTCGTGCTAAAAGGACAGCTCGGTGTACTAAGCTCCCGCTATGCGCGGGTCCGAGGAAAGGCTGGACCATAAGAGTCTATTGTACGCAGCCTTACCCTGCATTTTTGCAAGAGGCAATTTCCACGGCTCGAACCCGTGACCTTCTGGTCACATGGCAGCAACTTTACCAGTTACGCCAAGGCTCCCCTTTCAAAGCTGGTCGTGCTAGTTAAGAGAAAATGGTGTGTTTGTAGTGACTCTCTCAAGTAGTGGAAAGCAAGGGGAGATAGATCACTTGTATATTGTTCTTTACGAAATGAGGTCTCTTTTCTGTTCCTTATGACTAAAGAACCTAAGTTTTCCTGGGCCGTGTTGCTAATTGTTCTTTTATTTTTGTAGTTTTGTTGCAAGTGAAAAGTTAATGACTAGATGGTTTTTTATGATGGTGTATTTCATAATGTTACCTTCCTCAATTTGAGTGCATATTAGAGCTTCTCTATTTGCCCTATACTCTTGAAGAGTTGCATGTCTTAATGTTCTGATATCTATTCCGTATGCTTTAATACTACTGAATTAACAAAAGGCAAGAGATAGGAATTTTGAGGTAGAAACACAGCCTGCTTGCTACAGTGAGATTTGATCAAAGACTTCAAAGAATTTAATGAGAAGCATCAGGAGTGAAGTCGACACGTTCTGCTAGAACTTAATTAGAAGGTGTTATCGCTTGTTACTTCTTCATCAGCTAGTAATTATTTCTTTTCTGTTCCTTTATTTATGATGGAATAACAATTTGCTAACCAAAAGAACCTCTGACTGTTGATTTATGCCCGCTAAGGGTGACTCTTAATTAGAAGTTCATATTCGTACAGATTCTGAAGAGGATTTTACCATCAATTAGGAGTACTCTCTTGTGTCATGAATATATATGAAAGATTTTCTATGCTATAAGTATGCATTTCTCTGTTGATATGATGATTGATATATATATATATATATATGTTATACTAGAATGTTTGCTTGAGAAACTCTATGAATGTGCAAAAGTTTGCTGCCTGTTTTACAGATCTCAGATTAAACTTTACCAAGATAGTAAAATTGGCTAGGGAAATATTAACAAAAGACAAGAGATAGGGGATTCAAGCTGAAGTGGAAACTTCTACAAAGAACGCATTGATTTAAAAAAAAAAAAAAAAAAAAAAAAAAAAACTCTCAAATAGTGGCGGAGCCAGAATTTTCATTAAGGGGAGTCAAANAAAACATGTTTAACAGAAGCATCCGTGCAATGTTTCTAAAGAGTGTAGTCATCCATAACCTTGATTCCATGTGATCTCTTCTTTGGTAGTAGTAAGTGAATCATAATATTAGAAAAGGTACTTTCAATTGTCTGGGAACCTCTTTCTCAATTCTCCTAGATCAAGATAGAATTGTTAGGGTTAGTGTTAATTTTCTACTTTAACTAGAATTACCTTTTTTTGGGAAAAAAAATTCTTTGTGGAAAAGCATTTTTGGTGGAATAGGTATCTTCCATATTTGACTAATTGTGAAGTTTCGCACTTCTTCCTTATCATAGAAAAACACAATAGCATCCGCAATATATATTCCTTAGAGTTTTGAGAATTTTGGTTAGGGGGAGAATTTTCTCTCGATATTTTAGTATTCTTTTTTATGTTAGTAAATTCTTTTATGAATGTAGGTCAATTAATTAAACCTTTTCTTTTAGTATAATTTTATTTTTATCGTCTGATTTATCGTTGCTAAAGTTTATTTTGTTAACTTACACATGATGCCTTGTTATTTCAATCCCAATAAGAATATCATCCAATATTAGAGTAGGAGGATAGATCACCTATTCCTTTATGACTAATCTGATCTAACTTCTACGCAGGATGTGTTGCAAATTGTTCATCTCTCTCTCTCTCTCTTTTTTTTCCCCTATTGAAAGCTCTAATTTAATGAAGATTGTTCTAATTTAATGCTATATCTCTCTAAAATTACTATAACATCCAATTAATGGTGTGTTCAGTTATAGTAACAATTGATTGGATGTTTGATGTTCTAATTGAGGTTGTATATTGATATTTGCTTAGTGAACTTAGTTTGATAGTGTTGGATGTTAACATAGATTGAATTGAACATGTCGAACGTGGTGGAATCTAATGGGGCATTGACATTTATCTCCGCTTTTTGTGTCACGTTTTAACTTGTGTCCGCTTTGCAAAAAAAATTGCAAGCGTACCCGCTTTTTTCGCATAACTTTAGCATACGGGACGGGACTGAAGTAACAACGACAATCACGCAAAACTTCAGCATTCTAGTAGCCAGACCTAAAGTTCAGTTCTAGAGCTGAAGTTTTTGTTTTGTAACTGGCGAAGTTTTTGTTTTTGTAATTGGCGAACTTTAGCTCTATAGTTTTTGTTTTGTAACTGGCGAACTTAAGCTCTAGAGCTAAAGTTATTTAGTTCATTTGTAAAAACTTTAGCATTATTTATGTTTGTTTGGGATCTTGGTCATCTGTAATTATGTAAACAATATAAGAATTTGGTGTTACAGTCAAATAATTAGGCCCCCTACCACCTTTTACGTTTAGCAAAAGAGCACGGCTCTTCTTCATCAGTTGCTGCTGTTTCCCCACTTCATGACAGAAACTGAATAGGTGTGAATGAAAGAAATAGAGATAAGAGTAATAAGGGTACTCATCTAATATAGTTACAGCTAGTTATTTAGTTCATCTGTAATTATTTATAATTTTTTTAAAATAATTTAATAAACATATTTATGGTAATCATCCCATGAACTGAAGTTCCATAGCAGCACCAACAGCAACAGAAGAAAGAAGGAGGAGGAGAAAGGGGGTTGAAGTTATTTAAAATGTGAGTACAAGTTAAAAGTTAAAAAAAAATAAGTATAGATTAAATGAGGACGACCAAATAGGGCGCCCGTACAATTTTTACGAATCTAATCAAAGAAATCTTGAGTGGGACAATTGAAAATGTAATATCCTTGTACCATTATGGATTTGATTTCAACATGCCAACAGTGGCCCAATTCATAGTGGGCAGCCCAAACAAGAAGGCCCAAATAACTGATTGCTGATGTAGTCTATTTTACATTTCTATCAAGTCTTTACTTTTGTAGCCACATTTACTTGTCTTGTGTCCATATTCGTAAAGCTGGTTGTATATAAGGATCAAAAGGATCCAGAAATGCGGTTAGATTCATTTTTTTGTCTGAAGTAAAAGTATCTTCTTCTCTCTATACTTCTCTCTTCATGTAGGTTTTCTATATCAAATTCATTTCCGCAATTTATTTTTAGTGATCGAATATGTTGTAGCTAATGACAAATATTTGTTACACTTGGTGCACCTTGTATGTGGTATATTCGTTGATGGAAAAAAAAAGTACTCCAGCTATTTTGTATGGGTTAACGCACTTGTTTGTACGAAACCTAGCTGACAAAGTATCAAGATAGCGTGATAAATTTTACAGTGATCGTACGCAATAATATACTTCTTATAATATATGAGGGTGAAGTACACAAATAACCCTCAAAGTAAATAATCTTGAATCTTTATCTCCACTTGCTTTATAGGCATAACTTCAAGTCAACACTTTTAACTTTTGACTTTAAAGTTGTCCCTATGAGGCAAGCGTTGGTTAAAAATTAAATATCATCCGAAAAAGTGTCATATTACTGCAATTTTTGAGTATATATATGATGCTGACGCATTACCATCCGTGGTTCTCATGCGATCCAGTTATAGCTTTAATGCAAAAACATTAGACGACTTTTTGTATTAGTAAGATGTACTTTGCTAAATAACGAATTCATAATTCCAGTAGATTGCTTGTAGTTATGCTTCTCATCTTCTTTTTCCTCCTTAAATATGTTTTTCCTGTCAACTCGTTTAGGTTCGATTAATTCCAGTAGGTTGCTTGTAGTTATTTTCTTTTTTTATGAACACACAGATAATTAAAATGGAGATGAAAATTCATGTAAGAGAAAAAAAAAAGGTTACTGCTGAGTTACATTGGCTAATTGACTTCTAAAACTCTTACTGATGCCAAAGCCTGTTTTTATTAAATTTATAAAAAAAATATAAACATGCTCAATATTAGTCTGGCGGGTTAATTTCATTTTCTTTGCGCCTAGTGGACCTGCAGTCGAGTTTGAGTTATGAAAAGGGATTTTTTATCTTCCTATACACTATGTGAAACCTTAGTACCCTCACTACTAGAGTTTTAATTTAATTATATGATCATATACAATTTACCAATTATATAAAAATAAGTTTTAAATGAGTATCCCTTTATATTATAGAGTAATGAATAAGGAATATCAGTTATTTCCTTATCCCTTTACTCTTTCTCTCCCCCTCTCTCTCTCTCTCATAGCCTCAAGATTCACTTCGCTTTAGTTGGTCATATGTCTCTCTCTTGCAAAGCCTGGAGACTCATAAGGAGTACCAGTTTATGATTTAAAAAGACAAATGCTCAATGAAGTTAAAATCACAAAGCCTGAAGATTCACTTCACTTTAGTTGGGCTATAACATATGCTGAGACTTTAATCTCTCCTAATTCTCTGTAGAATTATAAATTTTGAAGGTGTTTGACTCTCCACCATTGACAGTCATTAAAAAGTTTTGAAGCATTAAAATCGAATTTGGGTTTTCAAAATTCATTATTTGTTTGGATTGGGTGCTGTTGCAAACAATTGGAAATATCATTTGGAGTTTATATCTCAATTTTGAGTGTATT